CAACGATGGCAGGTGGACCACCCAAAATGAAAAAAACTATTGCAGAAGCTAATTTAAAATTTGATACATTTTTTTCTTGCTGGATTGAATAGTAGACTGCCTAAAATTTAATTACAATGTCACCCAGGGCATCTTTCTACAAAAAATCACATTAACGAACCTTGTGTAACAATATTTTGACCTGGGACGTGTTCTTTGCCCTGACAGGTCAAATTGCTAATTAACCGATGAAAACGTTGGATGATGCCAACGTGTTCAAATTACCATATCTCATTTAAATATGTTAATGTTATTGAACGCAACACGGAAGAGAATTGCTGATGCCGTACGAACTATTGGCTTGAATTTTGATGGGAAGGCGGCATGATTTGTTTTTAAATAAAAAAATTTGTTGTTTTCAAAAGATAAACCGAGCATTTGAAGAATAATTTAACCTTGTTTAAAGTGATAACAGCTCATTGTCGAAACAAAGCTTACCCATTCACGCTAGTCTCAATGAACATCATACTCTTAAATAGGCGTCAATGACTAAGGTGAAACTTTTAGGCATCAGAAAAGATTAAAATAACACCTTAAAAAAAAAACTGCTGAAAAATCGCCACGGCAGAATCTGGTATATGTAATGAGTGATCAAGAAAGAGTGAGGAAGTGATTAGAAGAATAAGTGAGGGAGTGTGTTAGTGATTGAGTGAGTGTGATCAATGAGTGAGTGAGGGAAGTGATCGTGCAAGTGTTCAATTATCTACAATATAGGAGAGCAAAAATGCGACCTGAAGTAATATTGAAGCAGCATATTTACAGTATAGCCATTTATATATAGATGGGCATAATCCCTGATGACGCAGTATACATAACAGATATTACAGAGTGAGGTTAGTTCACTCCTAACAACACAAGGATTATTTGCCTTGCATTTATTATAGATGTAAGTCGCTTTTAAATGTACATGTATGTACTCAATAATTGTAAACTTTGGAGTAGAGTATGCTAAAAATAATATGAAAATATAGAATAAAAACATTTGTGACAAGAAACATTACTTACAAAGGAGGGTCTGCTACGTCCAAATTGACATCCTCTACTCACTGTCCTAACAAGATACTTCTTCTTTTTACAAGCGTTATTACCTGGGGGTTTGCCAAACAACAGTCCAATGAGGAAACATATGAGGGAGAAGCAGAGCATACTAACGATGCATACAGCAATACCAGTGGCTTGGACATCACCACTGTGGAAGATGGAATCTGTTAGGAAAGTGGTAACGTAACTACCCAGTCTACTACCCATCGTTGATCCATGCAGGATGTATAGGGACACTATTTTGGGAACTTCTGTAATTAATAATAATAATAGTATTGTAACAATTAGTGATGGTGTAGAACAGAGGAGCATATTTAAAAATGTTTACCACTTGAAAAACAAATATCTTATTATACAGCAATCCAAAAGTACAAAATTTTTCTACGTAAGATTAGAGCTGAATTGAGAGTCTGGTAAACTCATGTGCTTTTAAATAGAATCATTTGTCAATTGATTTAAAAACTATATCCTTTAGAACAAGTTTAAAAATATACTTTTAAATTTTTGTATGTCAATGGCCTTTTGTAGTAACCCTTATTGTAAATTTTCGATTTCTGTCCACCCTGTGAAAAATTGGGCTTAATGGCTGAAAATGTCAACAAGTTTACGATGAATAAAGTTTACTGTTATTATTATTGTTATACTCAGCCATTTTGAAAATGTTATAATAACTCGCACACTAAAAACACCGTACTTCCGCTGAGATATTCTCATGATAATCTCATAGTATCATCGCTATACTATGAGGTTATTATGAGGATATCGAAAAAGTATGCACAAAGACAGTACAGCGGGCGTATCGACCAACACGCAGCAGTCTGAGTGCATACTTTGCAGTATCCTTGTATTAATCTTATTATTATACATCTTTTCCTCGTAGGAATACATCATGGAAATGCAAAAATCCAAAATGTTTGGAACAGATTTAGAGAACTTTGTGTGGAGTCCAGACAAACCCTGGGCAGCCATGTTTGTTTTATATTATAAGAGAATGTTTACGCGTGTAATTATTTTGGCATTTGTGTTTCCTAATATGGTAGGATGAAAATACTTAGTGCAATACTGCATAAATACGGTATGCTGTAACCTACGCTGTAACCTATGGTGATAGATGTATAATAATATGATAGAAGTGCTCTAGGACATTTCTTATTTTCAGTTTGTTTTTTTCTCCAAATAACAAACCATCAGTATTATGAAATATTCTCTGAAAATATCACTGAACTAATTTTTATTAATTGCTACTGTTAATCAAGATAAACTAATTGTGAAGCAATGTAGTAGAATGGGTGGAGCTACGTAACAGACATTGTTTTAACGCAAAGACCAATACCAATAGAGCTACATTTTACTATAGAGTTGACAGCCAATAACAGTAATATGCATTTTAACTTAGAGAAATAGTATAAGCTATGTGAAATTCAAGACAACACTTCAAGAGTACTTTCACTGAAGTTGATCAGTAATTAAATTTGATATAAAACCAGAAGAAAGAGAATATGGCTATAAAAGTAACACAATATTGTTTAGCCTTCAGCTGGGCACTTATGTGACTAACACATTATTCAGGTATCAGTGAGTGTACATGTACTTTTAGACTTTTGGTGTTGATTACGATATAACCAGTGCACATATTTTGTCAAGGTCTGGTCCACCAATGTTTATTGTCTCCATGTGATTGGAGAATTATAGTCATAAACCAGAATATTTTTCATTTCACATATTTGCCTGACAATTTATGGCATATTTTCATTATGTATGCGTAATGGTATATGAAACACTAAATATTTTATTTACACTTTTACGTACATCGTTAACTTTGCTAAAGAGACTACTCAAACACTCTTCTCAATATATAATCATAATGGAATTTGGAATTTCATTAAAACAACTAATTTTGACATGCACAGAAACACATCTGTAATTTTTACGTAAGTGCACTTGCTACTAATATAGGAAATACAACACTAGCTAGTAAATTAAAAGTACTATTTTCTGAGAGATATAAGACCCCCCCCCCCCCAAATAAAATACTATTACCAATAGGAAATAAAAAAACAAGGAATAATTGACATAAGCTGGACACACAGATGATGTTGGCCAATCAGTAATATGAATAAATGAAAGTACCGGTATACAGATATACCGTGCAATGTCTTCTATTAAAACGATAATATTGTATTCTCAGAGTAACTAATGTGTTCCATTATTCTTCATAAATACATGTATTTACAAATTCCACATTTCAAATTGAAACAAGAGATTTCTATTAGTTGACTGAATAATACTGTAACATTTTCAAATGATGTTTTATAACAATGCCCATGTTGATTGGCTCATTGGATTCTACTGCTATTGTAATTATATATTCATAAAGATGAAGGGAATGCCTTTGTTGTGCAGAGAGTATTATATTATTTTGTTCCAATTAAAAAATAAATATCATTTTATTGAAAGAAGAATCACTTGCAAGAAAACTATCAAATGTAGAATTGATTCCCAATTTAATATGGCACTGTTAGGAATTATGATCATTATACGTATATTGCTATGATGGCTTTTATGAACAAAACTGAACGGTGTGGTGCATATCATTGTCTGTTAACGAATATCCAAAGTTGATCAATTTGTTATGTGAACTGCTTTAAATTAGAAAATGTTGCATGATTTTGTCATCACCAAATTTAACGCCTGACAATATAGTGACGTAACACAATGCACAATGTCCACATATGGAAAATGGAATATATTGATATAAACTGTGGTTTTGCAAAATTATGAGAAAGACACTTGAATAAACTCTCATAAACACGCTTTTAAACATGCAGTTATACATGTTATTGCTCACGCCTAGTGATCTCAAATTATTTTAAATTCTAAATTACGAAGAGACATCCCAGAGATTACAGCAAGCAAAAACGGCACAGAAAATTGAAAAATAATAATTTGTACTATAAAAGCACAGTTGACAATCAAATGTACATTCATACAGACAATATTAAATTTTAATATTTCTCAAAATTAATACTACCAAATATATGAAATTACTATTTCATATCTATTCTAAAAACAGCCATTTAGTTTTACTCTAACATCATTCATTCTAAATACGAGCAGATGGTGCAAATGAATCACTCAAATAATCTTAACCAACTAGTGACCTACCTACCGACTGAGTACGGCACTATCTCATTGTCCCTCCAGCTATGAGCAGTACCGCTGATTAAACAGTGTTCGTCACTCGACAACCACTACACCAAATAACCTCTCATTTAGCCACGTCAACAGCATTCATCACTGAGGTTCGAGTGTTCCGGGTGGTATAAGCACATCGCGCAATACAAGGCAGTTTCCGATAAATGTATAATGTATGTTTTTTACGTAAATACTAATATCAGGACTAGACTGGACCGCGAAGGGGTCGGCAATATTATTGTTTTGTCCCTGTGCGCAAGCGCGTTAAAGGTTATCTTTTATATCGTAGAGGGCGGATCAACGCTCAAAGCCATTATGTGTTCAGAAAAAGTCTGTTTTGCGTGTTTGTTATTTGTACGTTCCCCTATATATTATTTCTGGCCCACGTGACCCCCTCCCTCACGGCAATCGTACCAAATATTTCAGAGTAAAAAATAAACTCTTGTTATATTGTACAAGCTGTATATGTATTGTACTTCCTAAAATGAAATGTAATATTTTCCTTGGGATTC